ATTTTCTAAAGGCATTAAAAGCATCATTTTTATTTGCAAGAAACATAACCCATGTGAATCTTGAGTAGTCATCTACAATAACTAACCCATAGTAGTTCCCACCTAGACTCATGGTTCTTGAAGGACCAAACAAATCCATGTGAATCAATTGCAAAGGTCTAGTTGTGGAAATCTGATTTTTGCTTTTAAAGCTAGCCTTCACTTGCTTGCCCTTTTGACAAGCATCACATAGTTTGTCCTTACTAAACTTGAGTTTAGGTAATCCTACCACTAATTCCTTCCTACTCAGTTTATTTAAGTGATCCATGTGAATATGTGCAGCTCTCCTATGCCAAAGCCAAATATTGTCTTCTTTGGTTATTAAGCACTTAGTATTGGAAATTGCTATTGAGTGTTCTAAGTCAAGCATGTATATGTTGTCAATTCTTTTTCCAATGAATCTGATTTCTTTTGTCTTTTTATCACATATCAAGCAACATGTATTATCAAATTCAATTTTAAAACCTTTATCACTAAGTTGACTTATGCTCAGCAAATTATGTTTCAGCCCATCAACAAGCAATACATTCTCAATCAATGTTTGAGAGGAGGAGTTACCAATATTACCATGACCAAGAATTCTCCCTTTGTTGTTGTCACCATAGGTAACATACCCTTCATTCTTCAATTTCAGACTTGAGAATTTTGAAGGATCTCCAGTCATATGCCTTGAGCAGCCACTATCAAGATACCATAGTAAGTTCTTGGCCCTCAAGCATTCCTACAACAAAGATTCAGAGAAAAAATTTAGGTACCCATGTGAAGGGTCCTTGTAGGTTAGTTCTCAGCCTTTGGCTCTTTTCAATCCAAACCATTTCTCCATTTGGAACTCCATATTTCCTAGAGTAGCAGTTCCTTATTGTGTGACCTCTTTTACAACAATAATAGCAAGTTGTTTGTCTAGAGAAATTGCTTTTAAATTTTCTGAAATCTTGGTTTTTCTTAAAAACTCCTTTCTTTGATTTCAATGGCATGCTCATGCTTTGATTAAAACCAAGTCCACTCCTATCAAAAGTATTTCTTTGTTTTCCCAAAAGAATATTCAAGTTTGCATTTCCATTTGTGAACTTTGCAAGAGTGGTTTTTAAATCAGAATTTTCTTTTTCAAAAGATTTGCAATTTTCACAAACACCTTTTGAGGAAGCGGAGGTTTCACAATGAGCTTCACTAAAGTTAAAAATAGTTTGAAGATTTTCATGCTCATGTTTCAAATCTTCAAGCTCTTGTTCAGCTTTAATTAAAACATTCTCATACCATGACAGCTTGTTTTTAAGCTTTGAATTTAAAGCATCTAATTTCACAGCCTCTTTATGAATTTGAATGAAAGCTTCTTGGAGTTGATCATAGTTCGGATTAGATTCAAGGTCAGAATCACTTACTATTGTGTCTTGGTCAGCTCCAGCCATCAAACACAAGTTGTTCTCTTCAAATTCAGATTCATCACTTGTTGTGCTTGAGTCATTGTCTTCCCAAGCAATGTAGGCTCTCTTCCCTTTGCCATTTTTCTTCATTTTCTTCTCCTCTAGTTGCTTCTTCAAGAGGTTTGGACACTCAGCTTTTATATGTCCTGGTTTTCCACACTCAAAGCAATTATATGAGGATGAACTTGCTTCCTCTTTCTTGTTAGTCTTTTTATTGAACTTGTAGGGGAATTTCACTTTTTCCTTAAGAATTTTCTGAACTTCTTCAGCAACAAGTTGAAGTTCTCAGCTTCGGAATCATCGGAGCTTGATTCTTCACACACCTCTTTGCCTTTGGCTGATTTCAAGCCCTTTAGTGACTCTCCCTTGCCCTTCTTGTCCTGTTGTTCATTTTCCTCAAATATATGCAGCTTTTGCTCATGCTCTCTTAGCTTCCCAAAGAGAGTAGCAAGGGTCAATGAGGTCAATCCTTTGATTCTTCTATGGCTGTCACTTTTGCTTGCCATGATCTGTCCAAGCATTGCAGCACTTTCAAATTTAACTCTTCTTTTTCAAATTTCCTGCCAAGGTCAACAAGGTGATTTATCAAGTGTGTAAATCTCTTTTGAAAGTCAGAAATAGATTCACCATTATTCATTCTCAACAATTCATATTCTCTTATGAGAGTATGCTTTCTAGATATCTTTACATCACTTGTTCCTTCATGAGTGACTTGCAAAGTATCCCACATTTCTTTAGTAGATTTGCATTGTGATATTCTAAAGAATTCATCAATAGACAATGCAGATGTAATGATGTTTTTGGCTCTATAGTCATATTGGGCTCTTTTTCTCTCATAATCACTCCACTCACTCTAATGTTTTTCTCTCTTCTCATCATCATCTTTTGTCATAGGGATATAGGTTCTATTTTCAATTGCATCCCATACAGTAATGTCAATTGCTTCAATGAAAATTCTCATCCTAATTTTCCAGTAGACATAGTTTTCACCATTGAAAACAGGAGGTCTATGAATAGACACACCCTCACCATAGGGTAGGTTACTATTGGCCATTTATGAAATCTTGAATAACTCTCAAGAACCTTGCTCTGATACCAATTGTTAGAAAAGAATGGCTCAATCCAAGAGGGGGGAGTGAATTGGATTCTATGACACTTTATAATTTTCAGAGTTTCTAGGATCTTTATTTCAATTCAAACTTTTCTAAAATGAATTTTCAAAGAAGTTTCTTAAAGACTTGTTAATGAAGAATGAATCTTATATGCTTTCTTGATTAATCGTTAATGAGATTCAAGGTTACGTACAATCAATATGCAACACTTTTGATTCAGTTCAGATTACTAATGCTCAAGCAAACATGTTAATCAAGAATGATCTTCTTTACATACAACCAAGATATTACACAAAGTAAAAGATAAGGGTAAGAGAAGATTGCACAAGTCTTTTATCCTGGTTCAGCCACTCCACATGTGACCTACATCCAGTCCTCAATCATAACCTGATCAAGATTTTTTTCACTATCATAATGAATAATTTTTACAAGCATACCATACATGCATATACTCCTACATTCAAGATAACCACTTTCTTGACCTCAAGAAAGCACCCCTTGTAGAAACCCACTACAAGAATTCCTTACCACTTGAGAAACCTACTCAAGATTTACAAGTATTCACAAAGAATTAAGGAACGAATTCACCTGGAATTCAGAAGCAAATCTTAATCTCTTTCCTTTCAAGAATGTGATGATGATGATCTTTTCTCAAAGCTTTTCAAAAACGTTTTTCCTTCTTGGTTTCACAAAGAAAACTCCCAAGAATGTCACAAAGACTTCACAAACACGTTTTTCTAATTTTGATTCTCAATTCTAACTCTGTTTCGAAGTTTCAAAATGGTCAAACTATTTATAAATTTTTCAAAACCAGATAATCGATTATTTTAAAGAATAATCGATTATTTTGTTCTTCATGATTTCTGGAAATCAACCAAGAACAATTTAATCGATTATTTTGCTGGATAATCGATTATTCCAGAGAGTCATTTTTGGGATAATCGATTATTTCACAAATAATCGATTATTGCACCAAGGCATCCTTTTTGCCTGTTGCTGGAATAATCGATTATATTTAATGATAATCTATTATTTTGAGTTAGTTGTCAAAACTCTATTTTAAGTCTCAAAATAATTTTTTAACCTTTTAAACTCATCATCATACACATCCCTAATCAGATTAGATACAGATTAGCCAAAGCACAAAGCACACACAAACCAAATAAACTCAATAAAAGCAATCTATAAGCTACTCCTATTACATAGCATTTTTTTTTTACTTTGTTTTTGACTTCTAAGTTGTTGATATCATTGGTCAACTTTGTTCCAGACATTTGTTATCATCAAAACCTTTAGTCTTCAGAGGTAATCTCAACAATTTCAATCTCCTCCAATCTCAACATAAGGTCCTCTATAGATTTTAAATAGTAATTAAAAGACTATATGCTTAAAAATAATGTAGAGATGGATAATAAAATATTCGTACTCATGAGTACTCCTACTTTAAAAATATTAAAAATACTATTAATTATATATAAAATAATTTAATTTAATTTATTTTACACTATATATATGTATTATAATTATTTATTTTTATTACAAATATATGTCATAAAATTCTTTTTTGATAAAAATATATTTTAAAATTATTTATTTTTAATTTATTTTATTTCTTTCATTTTTGTTTGAAAATTTACATCTCGACGGAATTGTCACATAAAATTGAGCATAATTTTACAAATAAATATCTCACTTGTTTGCATTTTTATCCTATATAATTAGTATAGTGGTATCCATTAACGAATGTTTGTTTATATATCAAATATCCATGGAATACCGATGCTGTTGATACATGTAATAAATAAGGTTGGTGGTGGAATGCTACGCGCCGGCCCATTATCATCCTTGTTGCTGTATCTAGTGAAAAAATAAATAAAAAGTATTTAATGGACAATATGATTGTTAACTTTATTTTAACTTTTGTGTTCAATTTTCTTTTTCCTCAGACTTTATCCTTCGAGAAAAGAGTTATAGTAGGATTTAGAGTCGCAATTGTCTAACAAATATGTACACAAAAGTAAAAAATAAAATAAAATAAAATAACATAGATATACGTTTGTATGAAGACTCTTTAGAAAACATCTAAATTTTATAAAAAATTATCTATTATAAACCTTGACTATATAACATACATAAATAATCAAAATTATAAATTAATAATAATATATATCGCTTAATTAAAAATGTCATATGTATATTTTTCTAATTTTATTCTTTTAAACATAATTTAATGATCAATATTTATAATTCTCATTTCTTGCATCACTTCCCACATTATCGAGTTGCTTTCAGTATCTATTAGACTCATCATCATAGATTTGTAGGTAATTGCAATCTGTCAAAATGTTCAACAATTGGCTAATTGCTTGCCCTGTTGCTTCTATTAAACTTTGTTCTATTCAACTGTGTTCTTCTGAGTTCCATGAAATTCATAGAAAAAATTCAAAATTATATTAATCACAAATAAACAAAAGTTTTCAGCGGAACAATAAAATACAGACTACGGATAACATATTGGAACCCATGCAAGTTAGACCCGATCACTACATATGACTCTCCGAGAACTGCTCTTGATCCAATGCATCTGTGTTTTTCTGTTCAATTTCTAGAATCTTAACAGAACCGTTTATCTTTGTCAATGCCAAGAGTACTGAAGTAACAAGAAAGCAAGAAATAAAACATGCCAAGTATCATAGATAGATTGATCACATCATCCCAAGTATGGTTTATTATAACATAAGCTCTACATTGAGCAGCATTCTAGAGTCATATCATAGTTGCATACACATTCCTCACTTCCACTTCTTGAACCCACCATGCTTGCCAAATTTCCCATGTTTTCCATGCTTGAATTTTCCATGTTTTCCATGCTTGAACTTGCCATGTCCATGCTGCTTGAATTTTCCATGGGGCATTGCACCATGTGCATAGTAGCCATGTGAGCCATGGGCACCATGGGCACCATGGGATAAATGGTGAGCACCATAAGCAGCGGCAGCCGCGGCAGCACCCCCAGCAAGCATAGATCCCATACCGCCATGCCCGTGAGACCCTGGTGACAAAAAGAGTACTTAAATTGAAAACTCACAAGGATATTGCAGCAAATTATTATAGTCAGCACAAAACTTTTCTAATAGCCAATGCAATGCATAAAGACAAACAAGGCTGACAAAAACAGAGTACTTAATTTGAAAACTCGCAAGGATATTGCAGCAAATTATTATAGCCAGCACAAAACTTTTTCTAATAGCCAATGCAATGCATAAAGAGAAACAATGCTGGTGACATTCATTCTGATACTCTCTTTCTAAAATTTTCTTTCATTGGTTAAAAATCACAATTTTTTATTGGTTGGAAATCACAAGTTTTAATTAGTCTTACTACAAAATTAAGAGTGAGACTCATGATTTTTAATAAATACCAATCAATGATAAAGAGAGTATGATAGATAGTGTGTTAGATAGAGTGTCATTAACATTCTTTATGCATAAATTAACTAGTAAAGAAGACTACTTCAACAAGCACACACAAGTTTCAAACACAGTAAAACAAAGCCAAATCATGCATAAAATAAAAAATAAAATAAAAAAGGTTATTAGAGTGTTTTGAATGCAAACAAGACAAAGATGTGTTTAGAAAGAAACTCAATAGTCAATTTTAATTACCAACATCAAAGTTCTTTCTTGGTCCATGAATTTGTTTATATCGCCAAATATTTATATCTTTGTATGGTATCGTGGTTAGTTTGTCTCCTTTGTTGGAGTGAGAAGATGTATTAATATAAGAAAACAAGAATGTAGCTTAACCCTTGATTTAAACTAAGCTAAGTTTAGGATAAACTTTAATTCAAAATCAAGAGCAAATATATCATTTTTTTTCTCACTTTACACTGATACAACATTCATACTTGATGATAGAATAAGTAATTTTAGAAGACACTACTGTTTCATCAGTTCGTAAACAATGCTTCTAAGTAGGCAGTTTCAAATATTCTACAACTACAATAGATTCCAGAATTTAAAAGTGATTGTAATAAACATTCAGTAACATAAAGATGTAACAAAGCAAAAACAATTCAAAGGAAAATACCTGGCATGTGTGGAGCAGAACCAGGATAACCAGCTGGTGGGTAACCTTGTTGTGGAGGGTATCCAGCTGGAGGGTACCCTTGTTGTGGAGGGTACCCCTGATGTGGAGGGTACCCTTGGTGTGGAGGGTATGCCCCAGGTTGTGGTGGATAAGCCCCAGGTGGGTACCCATATCCACCATGTGATGCATTAGCTACCCCATGAGCAAGGTTTGAAAATATTCCTTTGTCAGATTCATCATGATGCTTGTCCTTGCCACCTCCCATCTTTCAAAACCCAAAACCCTGATGATTTTGAATTATGCTAAAAGAATTAGTGAAAGCAAAGAAACACAACATGAATTCTTGAACCCAAGCCATTCATCGCTAAAGTTGCAAAGTTTTGATAAATTTATGTTGCATGCAAAAGAAAAAATAAAATCAGTGGTCAACAAACAAGACTTGAGAGATCAACCATGAAAACACTGACGATCTACGAAGAATTGATCATAATGAACAATTAAAGAACTGTGGAACACCTTAACATAATTCCAGGATTTTACATGTTCAAAAGACTTACATGTGAAAAATTAAGGTACAGAATTGATCACGGTAAACAGTTAGGGAACTCACCTGTTTGAAATTGAGGAATACAATGTAGTATTTGAGAAATTGCAATTGAAACAGAGGAAAAAGAGAGAAATTGGGGATCTTGTATAAATGGTGGAATTGTGCTTTTATATTGACTATTGACACCTTAGACAAGGAACGAGAACGAGAACAAAAAGAGCGCGTTACGCATCCTTACGCGTCATTGACGCGGGCAACTGTCATTCACACAGAGTGCCACGTGGAAGAAACTAATTGGTCAATGCATTCCTCCACTACTAGGTTGCTTCACAAAGATATTTTTCTGAGTTTACTGAGTTTCTTTTGCTTTTATTTATTTATGTTTTCGTCCTTGCAACTTGAGGATGCCTTAGATTTTAAGAAAATTTATTTCAAAAATATGTATTTCGACCACCATACAATTTGTTTTACTCTGACATGGAGAATCTGATTCCAATTAAGATAAGAAGGATGACCAATAGTTTTGATTTGATCAAATGTAACTTTAGGGTCGCTAAAAAAATCTATTTGAGCTACATATTGAAAATAACTTGTATAAATAAATTGAATTGTAAATTCATATTTTAGAGGCATGTAAATTCCCATATTATCCTAGTAATATTTTATTTTATTTTATTGAAAACAAGTGTGAGAATAGTTCAAGTTTTAAATAGAAGTTGTACTTATTTAAAATTTGATCTATTTGATAAAAGAATCATGTTTAAAAATATTTATTTATTTTTAAAAAATATACTTAGACTTATAAAAGTCTATTAAATTCAATAGATTAGTTTATTTATTTATATGATATAATAAAAATAATAATAATCATATCGTCTCATTAATAATATAATTAAATAAATAAATTTATAATATGAAAAGATTAAATTATCAATATTTTTTAAATTTTTACTCTATTTAAATGTGTTTATATTTATTGTTCAAACAAAATTAAGAAATAGGAAATAAAAAATCTAATAAATACATCTTTACCTACTTTTTTCTTGGTTATTTAGAATAATTCAAATGAGACACATGAAAATTTATAAAGTTTTTTTTATTACACTTGTGCGTTAGTGTATACATGAGTTGTCTTCCTTACAATAGTTTTTTATTTTTATTTTAAACTCAATTTTAATAATAATAGAATAAATTTTTTTATAATGCAAATTAAAAAGAAAAAAGACTTACAAGTATATTTAAAAATAAATTTGTTATCGTATTTAAAGTTAAGTTTATTAACCCATTTAATATTGTTAATGTAAAATAAGTTTTTAAATATATTAATAGGTCATACTAGAATCTTAAAAAGGTCGATCATACCTATAAAAACATTTATAATAGATAATAGGTAAGACTTAAATTTTAATTTTATAAAATAATCTTAGCCTGCATATTTAAAGTGTGACTCGGTTTAACATATCCCCATCCTCATTGACATGTCATCAAATCTAAACCACTATACATAATAAGTTGTTGACTTTTATATTAAATAAGTAAAAAATTATATCAATAGTGATATTTGATTGTTTAATAGTATAAAACTATTTTACATTGTTGATAAGGTGTAATACTTTCTATCCATTTGACCTATAATTATTCTCATTATTAAAAACATATGTTTGGATCGGGATATGTAGAAAAAGTTATTACTTGTTTTGAAAATCAACATCAAAGTATAAATTGTAATATAGGAACAATGGAGAGAAAGATGAGAAAATAATATAAGGGAGATAATAGAAAGTTTCTTATCTTATTTCTAAAAATTAGATGTGCATTGCACGAGTAAAGAAATCTATATACTGTATTTTAAAGAGATTAAAATTATATTAAATTTTTATATTTAATAAATATTAAAAAGTTAAAATATCCAATGTACAATAAAATTAAAAATTAAATATATTATTTTTAAGATATGTACATATGTTTGTGACAAATTAGGAGAAGATTGAAGAAGATTTGCAAAACATTGAATTTTGTTATGATTTTAATTTTTTTTAAGTTCATTGTGTCACTAAGAAAGAAATGTGTTATATTTTTGTGTTAATTTTTATTATATTAATTTTGAAATTCAACTCAATTATAAATGCATTAAATGATAATTGAAACTAAAGATATTAAAAATGATAAAGAAGCTACAAATACAAAATAAACCATGAACATATAATGCTAAAAATAATATTTTAAAATTTAGTAATGAGATAATAATATTAATTCTTACTTTATAATTGTGCAATTTTCTTTCTAGATCAACTTGGAGATAATTCAATTAAAAAGATAAAATTACATAATTCTTATAATATAAGATTCTTCTCCACATTCATTAAAACTATTTAATTCAAACTCTATTATATATTATGTGGGTAAAATTTGATCTTTACTAAATTAACATGAAAAATAAAAGCAGAGAAGAAAAATTATAATAAAAAAATGTATTAGTCATCAAATTTACTTTTAATAAATTTTCTAAAGTAGCATTCGTTTCACAAACTTAATTATCTAATGACTTTAGCTATAATGGAACCTTTTAACTTCCTTTTTAAAATTTGAAAATAGAAAATTACAATTAACTCTTTTATCATAAAAAATTGAATAGTGTGATTCCAATAAATAACTTATAACTTATAAACATAAATAAATATTTATTTTATTTATAATTAGTAATAGTTACATATTATTAATTATTTTTTTATAACTGACATTTTAATTAAATTTAATATATTAATTACACATTAATATAATTATTAATATATATAAGAAAAATTACTTATAATTTAATAATAAATAATTATCAATATATATTATATAAGTACTAATTTCATAAATTTTTTAAATTACTGATGGTAACAAACATCAAGATATAAATTAATATAATCAATAATTACATATTTATTTATTATTTATTATTTGTCTATAACTAATATTTTAATTAAATTTAGTCTCTTAATTTAAAATTAATATATCAATCAATAATATATATAATTATTAATTTAATTTAATTTTTAATTATCAGTTATTTAATATTAGTTAGTTATATAGATATTACTTAACACAGTTAGCACAATTATAAATTTCTAAAATTCAACTTTTAATTAACTTAATATTTAAATAAAAAATATGTATCTGAACTCTTTAAGGAAAAAGAATTTTAATAAAATGAGTAATGGAAGAAGAGAATAAAAGGGAAAAAATAAGAATAAAAGAATATAAAAGATTGTGAAACATAGATGTTTTAATGAACAATATAAAATACATAGTAAGTTTGACATTAAGTATTTATTGACTTTCAACCACATTTGATTTTCCTTTAGAACAATGAAAAAAATAGAAAGATATAATCTCAATTTCAAAATTTCATGAATTACGCATTGTTGAAAACCATGAAGAAAAAAGAAAAATTTATTGATTATACTTATATTTGTATCATTGAAAATTATAACCGTAAAATCTCTATTAGATTCTTATGTAAAGGTGAGTTGGGTATTGATGGAATAACACTAAGGCCAAGAAAACCAAGAGGTGACAAAGTAAAGGGGAGAAATATTTAAATTATTATTCTTATTCTATTAACTTCATCATTTATATGGGTCTGACCCTCTTTAAACTTTCCCAGTGGAGTTACCATCTGTCGCAACCCGAAAATTTCCGATCTCGTGAATAATGGTTTAGACATACTTTCGAAAATGTCATCAATTAAGGAATGCCCGAAGACCAGACTAATCCTTAATTAATGGTTTTGAAAAATGAGTTCATGGAGTCGCCACCAATGTTTTACTCAAAACATTGGAAAAAGAAAAGGTTTTTTAAAAGTCCAATAATGGCCTTGATAACCAGAATTGGGTTCAGGGGTCGGTTACGTATAGGGAAGGTATTAAGAACCCCTACAACACCCTTAATCGTTACCCTATGATGAAGTTAGCATAGTAAAAGTTAATAATATATATATTTAATCCCCTTTATGAATGATTAATTACATGCTCAAATTTAAATTAAGCGATTGACTCTAAAATGTCTACATGATTGCTTTTATTATAACAATATTTATAAAAGATAAGAAATAAAAGGGAGAGAAGAAGATTGACTGAAATACCTCTTGAACGAGCTCTATTGAATCTTCAAATGTGGAGATTTTTAGGCACTTTTTGGCTACCTTTCACACTACAATATGCCTCACAAAACTTAAGAAATACAATAGGAGGGGGAGAGAGAAATTTTGAGCTCTAAGGAGTTTTCAATGAAATTTTTGTGGCCCTGAGAACTGTCCCCGAGTATGCTATTTATAGGCATCAAAAAGTGGCTAGAACGGCCTGTTCCAAAATCGGAATGGCCTGTTCTAGATCCGACTGTTTTGTGTTAATTTTGTAACTAGAATGACCCATTTCTAAAACCAGAACAACCCGTTCGAGAGGTGAGTTTAACACATAACTGCCTATGCTGGAACAGCCCATTCCAAACTAAGGTTTTAGGCCTCTTTTGTAACTTGGAACGACCCGTTTCAATTTAGGAACGGTCCGTTCCACTTTAGGAACGACCCGTTCCAAACTTAGGTTTTAGCCTTTTTTAGGAGCTTGGAACGACCCATTCCAGTTTGGGAACGGCCCATTCCAAACTAGGGTTTTAGGCCCTTTTTGTAACTTGGAACGGCCCGTTCCAATTTTGGAACAGCCTGTTCCGAGCTACTAAAACTAGCTTATTTGGGCTTTAAGCTTTCTGATGTCATGTCATGTTGTTTCCACGCTTCGGGAGCTCCTTTCCTTGATAATAGACGTCCATTTCATTGCTTTTGTTGGTCTGGACGAAATTGGGTGTCTACACGCACATAGATATATAAAGAAATAACTTAATCAAAATTAATCATACTAATCTTTTATTAAAAAAATGCTATCATAATTATAATCATGAAACATATTTATTCAATAAGATACATAACTTAACTAAAAAGAAAAGAAAAAAAGAAAAATATGGTTGCTTTAAAATACCTATTATTTGCTAAATGGGCTTAGCCCACATTTAGTCCAAAATGAAAAAAAGAACATGAATGACATTCAACCATATTACCAATTTGTGAGATAGAAAAGAAAGAAAAGTAAAAAGGGTGTGGAGAAGCACTCCACTAGGGTTTTGCACACTACCTCCCTTCACGGACGTTGATGGCATGGTTTTGTGAGGAGGAAA